TTGGTTCCAAAGATATAGGTATTTGGTTACAGAATCCAGTACCCTGTTTCCAGTATATTGTATCCTGTATTCTTTATCCTACATACTGTAGCAACTATTTTGTATCCACAATGTAACTTTAAAAGTTAGAAACATTTTTTAAAATATGTTTTAAAACTATATCTTAAACTGTATTTTAGGAAAATAAACTTTGTACAAATTATCCTGAAATATGTTATTCCAGCTATATAAACCATTGTTAAGCAAGGAGAGAAGAGATCCAACCCGTTCTACCAAGAATTTCAAGACTGTTTTGCAGCAGGGAAGGTTTGATACACAATTTAATAGAAGAGATCCAACTCGTCCTACCATGAGTTTCAGGATTGTTTTACTCCAAGCAAGGTTGGAGCAACAAGAGAAGAGATCCAACTCATCTTCCTGAAGTTTCAAGACTTTTTGCTCCAGGCAAGGTCGGAGCAAGAAGAGTTTGAAACCATCCAACCAGGAGTTTTAGGACGGATTAGCTCCAAGCAAGTCAGATCAAGGAAAGAAGCGTAGATCCCGTCATACCTTGTGTTTCAATAATGTTTTCTTCCAGGCAAGGTTAGAGCAAAGAGAAAAGGGATCCAACACATTCCATCAAGAGTTTAGGGATTGTTATACCCCAGGCAAGGTCGGATCAACAAAAGAGTACAGTTTCGAACCATTGTATCAGATGTTTAAGGACTGTTTTGCTCCAGGCAAAATTGGATCAAGGAGAGAAGAGATCTAACTAGTCCTACCTGGAGTTCAGGGCTGCTTTTCTCAAGGCAAGGTCGGAGCAACGAGAAAAAAAGATCCGAAGAGTTGAGCAAGGAGTTTCAGGATTTTTTTCTCCAGGCAAGGTAGGAGCAATGAGAGAAGAGATTTCCAATATCATCCAATCCCTCCTTTCCAATCTCATCCAATCCCTCCCTTCCAATCTCATCCCTTTTACCTGATGTATTATCATTCTTATGTTTAAAATGTACAATGTACATTGTTTTTATCTGCAATTCTCATTCGTTTATAGTGGGCCAACCAATTAAAACAATCTACTCTGGTTAGGCGGGTCCAAACTACATAGTAAATTGTGATTTTTTTATTTGTATTATCTCGTGCTTTGTAGTTTAATAAAATATGAAATGAAATGAATCAAATTCATAACATTCGTATCCATCCTTAACATTTTTTGTATCCAGATGAGATAAACAATCAAACCCAACCTATATCAAATTCTAACATTCGTATCCATCCTCAACATTTGTATTCAGATGAGATAAACAATCAAACCAAACATATATCAAATTCATTTTTAAAGAGAAAGATGGGATATTTTTGAAGAGAAGGATGGGACGGATTTAAAAGAAGGATGGGACAGATTTGAAGAGAAGGATGGACCAGATTTAAAGAGAAGAATAGGTGGTATTAAAAGAGAATGATTGAACGGATTTAAAGAGATTGAAAGGTAAGAAAATTTTGGTTGGGGAACTCAATACATTTAATCTACTTTACCTTTAATTTAGTTTCTTCCTTCTGAACTGATTTGCTTCTTGAAAGTAACTCATGCTTCATGATCAGTTCCTGTACTTAAAAAAGTTAAGCTTTTCAAAGTTATAATAATAAAAATAACAAGGAAGAAAGGAAGCATTTATAACCTTTTATCAGCCAAATTTAGCAATCAATTTTTTAATTATCAGTGAAAAATGTAATATATTTCAATGCCATTTGAAAGCTACCTAAAACGATATGCAATAAAAAACATCCTCAAATTTAGTCTAAACCCAATTTTCGCTGCATTAGTCTAGTTCAGAAATAATTCTTTGAAAATCTTAATGCATCATTCATTATAAAGCAATTGAGTCTTTATCACAAACTATGATTTTCTAATCCTTATATCTTTATAATCCAATGCTGTAGACCTTAAATATTTCAAATAAAAAATTCTGTTAGATGAAAAAATCTAAGTTTGGACATAATTATGAATTCTGTTTGATAAAATATCAAAGGTGGCAAAAATATAGGTATTAGAAAATCAGAGTTTGTTACAAAGACTCAATTCTATTGTTGATTAATAAGGAATGATATACATATCACAATAGACTTTTACATACATCCGTCACAGAATTTAATTCAAAAAAAGAGAATGTTTTTCCATGCAATAAATGATTTTCATTTAAGATATTAACTTTTATAGAAAAAAAAACGTAGCTATAAAATTGGCATAATTAAGAGGTTTCAAACTATTTGATCCCGACTTTTAATTATTGACAGGTTGTTGTGAAAAAAGAAAGAAGTGATTTTTGATTAATAATAGAAAGTGATGGAAATTATTGGTTATAGTCATACCTAGGATATCTTGGTTCAGCTCGGGAATAAGTGTCCTGCTGGATATTAGGGTTCTGCTCAGATATCTAGAAAAAAGAAAAATTTGCAATCATTTATTTGAACTGCCAGTCATTTTAATTCAGGAAAATGTTTATTTTCTTGTTTACACTTTGTGTTGTACTGCGAACTAATATAAAAAATTAATACATAAAAATTCTTTGTTCAGGTTTTATTTAAACATAAAAATTGTGCTGCACTATCTTATCTAATTTTTCTATAATGTTTCATTAATTAATTTAAAAGTATCAAAACGGATGTATAAACTTGTTCAATTACCAATATTTTCCAAATCTACACAAATATTTAACTTCAGGAATATCAGGAGGAAGATCTGAAAGCCCCCCGTTTAAATACTTAAACCTTAACCAGGATTACTACAATTAACATTAACCAGGATTACTCCAACAATACTAGAACTTGAACCAGGATTGTTCAGACTGTACTTGAACCTGAACCAGGATGTTCATACTGTACGTGAACCTGAACCACAATTACTCCGACAATACTTAACCGTCAATGTACGAAGCGGTCGATATCGACCGCTCACTTAAGTCACCCATTACCCCCTTATCGGTTTACAAATT